AACGAAAACCTCCGGAGATGTGAAAACGAGTGATCCCACAATCTCACAAAGCATAATCAAGCATTAAGACTACATACACAACTAAATGCCATGAGTTGGATTAAATCAAAGTAAAAGAATACCAAAGCATCAAACTAACACACACCAATCAAGTATATTGCAAAAAAAATTGCAACCTAAAAAGATTTCGCAAACATACCATAGCCGCTAAGGGAATGATGGTGATCTAAAGGGAATGTAGCGTTGACACGATTGAATTTATGCTCAAATCTAAAAATTTACCACAACAATACTTGTAATGAGGGCTTTGGGGTAAGGTTAGGGTATAAGATAGGATTAGGCTCGTTTATTGGTGTTGAGGACATCAATTTATGACTATTTTTGTATGCATATAAGGGTTCTTTTCCTAATGTTTTTGATGGATAAAATACTTATTTTGCATCTATAGATAAAGGCTAAACATTGCGTCTTTTTTTCCTTTGTATTTCTTTTGTATTTTTTTTGTGAACCCACAAGCTATGCTTGTTTTAAGGCTCAACAAACCACCCACAAGCTATCCTTGTGTTTATTTCTACACCAGATGCCAACTCCATCTATCATTTTGAAGAATTTGACCTTAACATGCATTTTTTCTTTTTGTTTTGGTCTATAGGTGTACAAAAGAATGACTAGTGTTTAGTCTCAAATTTGGTGCAAAGTGAAAACATTTTGGAATTTTTGAGGGTTTATTTCATGAAACAAAGGCCTTTATGTAAATGTGTGATAGACTAGGATGAGAAACCACACAAAAGCGGACTACACCTTGATGGGAGGTAACACATGAGAAATGAGAATTGGGATTGATTACGTATGTCTCAATTCATGAGACCCAAAACCTCCACTAGGTAAATCCATCCATCATAGTCACGTTTGTAATGTAGGGGGACTACGGTGTGCAAACTAGTCCTAAAAGGCTTCGTGGAACAACATGCTTTATGGGGTGTGTAAGTAACAACTAAGGTACCATTTTTCCTAAAAAAATCATTTAATAATATCAAAAAAAGTTTATGTGCAATTAGTGAAATAAGCAACTCCAGAATGCAAAGTGAGATACGGTGTACTACGAATCTTAAGACGCAAAATAAAACAAGACTATATTAACGTAAGTTAACATGAACATATTCAACGTTAATATGTATTAACACACCAGAACCACTTTGAAACTTCATAAACATTGGTTAGCATATCCCACAATCTTTCTTAAACCGCAACCTCGAAGTGTGGTTCATTTTGATTATCCGACATCAAATCTTGAAATGTGGTGCATTATGATGCTCAAATCTCATGGTGTCAACTTACTATTCTTTGGCTCTTACTTTAATAGATAGATTTTTGCAAAAAGAATGTTGGAGGGTTGCCATGGAGCAGGAGATTGAATCGATAGATAAAAATCACACATGGGAACTTTGTGATCTGCCCACTGGCGCTACACCGATTGAAGTAAAATGGGTATTCAAGACCAAATTAAATCAAGATGGTTCAATTGATAAACACAAGGCACGGTTAGTAATAAAAGGGTATGCTCAATGTCAGGGGATAGACTATTCGGAAGTTTTTGCTCCTGTAGCCAGATGGGATACTATTAGAACCATACTTGCATTCGCAGCTCAACAAGGTATGAAAGTTCATCAGTTGGATGTTAGGGGTGCATTTTTGTATGGGGAGTTGGAAGAAACAGTGTTTGTAGAACAACCCCAAGGGTTTGAAATACAAGGGATGGAAGAGAAAGTTTATAGATTGAGAAAGGCTTTGTACGGGTTGAAGCAGCCCCGAGGGCTTGGTATGGTCGCATTGAAAGCTATTTTAAAGGGCAAGGCTTCAGCAAGTACCCTTATGAACCAACACTTTTTGTCAAGTCAGATAAAGAAGAGGGGTTGCTTATTGTTTCAGTCTATGTTGATGATTTGATTGTAACAGGAACGACTCTAAGTTTGATTGAAGAATTCAAGACCTCAATGAAAACTGAATTTGAAATGTCAGATATGGGGGAAATGCATTATTTTCTTGGTGTAGAAGTGGTTCAAATTGAGATGGGAATCTCTATATGTCAAAAGAAATATGCTCGTGAGATTCTTGCAAGGTTCAACATGGAAGATTGTAATGGTGTCAAAAATCCTATTGTTCCAGGATGCAAATTGGTTAAAGATGATCACAGTGGTTTTGTTAATGCAACTTTGTATAAACAAATGGTGGGATGTATCATGTACTTGACGGCCACAAGACCAGATCTAATGTTTGTTGTTAGTTTACTTAGCAGATACATGGAAGCTCCTACAGAGCAACATATGGCAGCTATAAAATTGGTTTTGAGATATATCCAAGGAACATCATCTCTTGGATTGTTTTACAAGAATAAAGGAAGTGATTAGTTGGTGGCATTTTCTGACAATGATTATGCAGGTGATTATGATAATCGAATAAGCACGTTTGGCTATGCTTGCTTCTTAAGTGAAGCTGTTGTGGCTTGGTCATCTAAATGACAACCAATCGTGACTCTCTCTACTACAGAAGCTGAGTTTGTTGCTGCTACAACATGTGCATGTCAAGTGATTTGGCTTAGAAGAATTCTAAGGTACATTGGTTTGCCACAGGAAGAAAGTACTATTGTAGTTTGTGACAATATGTTAACTATTAGATTGTCCAGAAATCCAGTGATGAATAACAGAAGCAAGCACATTGATGTCAGGTACTATTTCCTCTGAGACTTGGTAATTGAAGGGGTTAGAATTAAAGTATTGCAACACGAAATCTCAAATTGCTGACATGATGACAAAACCGCTGAAGCTTGATCAGTTTGAGAAGTTACGTAGCAAACTGGGCATGAGTGAGATAAACTAAAGATGTTGATCCTTTAGTTTATGAGAAGGTATGTTGAATAATTGAGTCAAGTGAATAAACTCCTGATTTGCAGGAAGAATTAGTTTGTTTTTTGAAAGTTTATAGTCTACCTAAAGAATAGGATCTACCTAAAGAATAGGAGTTAGCGTTGGAATAACGTTTATTTTCGTTTTCCCTTCTTGTGTTTAAGCACGTAGTTGGTTCATTGAATAATACACAATTTTCCATTTCTATTTTCTTGTTCAGTACTTTACATTGTGAGTCTGTGATACCAACACTATTCTTATTCTTATTTTGGGTCCATTCAATTTTAGTTTTTGGTTCTGCTCTCAATAGTTGCTGCCTTGGATCTGTCATTCTGTTTCTTTAAGTTGCAGTTTCATTTCTAAACATATTTTGATTATTGGTGTTCCTTCAAAACTCATTCATATATTATATAGATACATGTTACATACATCCAGTGGCATCTCAAAATCCCCTCTCTAATTTTCCTTTAAAGGTCGTTTTTTTGTGTGTAAATTAGATTCACGTTATTTAGGTTTAGGAAAATTGCACCAAAATGGAACCAACTTTCATATGATTCCTATTCTGGGGAACAAACTTTCAAAATCGTCATTTTGGTGAACCAACTTTCACCTGATTCCTATTTTGGGGAACCAACTTGCAAAATAATTATAGAAAAATGGAAAAATTACACCAAAATGGAACCAACTTTCACTTGATTCCTATTTTGGAGAACCAACTTTTAAAATCGTCATTTAGGGGTCTCTATCGAACTTTTTGTTTATTTAAGGGTCTGATTGATCTGTTGAACAGGTAACAGATAATTTAAGGGTCTCTATCAAACTTTTGGTTGGATTTGCCAAATTTGATTTAAACTTTAATATTGACACAAATTGGTTAGATATAAAAATCTTGAATGTGATATTTAATATTTATTTTTTATTGCATCAATTAATTTTTTTCTATTAAATTGATTTTTTTATTGCATTAGTAAAAAACAATTTTTATCGTGGTAATTTGGATTTTTTTCGAAAAATCTTCAATTGATATATGAATTTAAAAACATGAGATTTGAAATGAAAAATAGATTTTATTGCATTAATTTTTGAAAAGAAATGAATTTTAGTTATTTTTCTAAAATTATTTTGCAAGTTGGTTTCCCAAAATAGGAATCAGATGCAAGTTGGTTCCCCAAAATGACGATTTTGAAAGTTGGTTCCCCAAAATAGGAATCAGGTGAAAGTTGGTTCCCCAAAATGACGATTTTGAAAGTTGGTTCCCCAAAATAGAAATCAGGTCCAAGTTGGTTCCTCAAAATGACAATTTTGAAAGTTGGTTCCCCAAAATAGGAATCAGGTGAAAGTTGGTTCCATTTTGGTGCAATTTTCCCTTTAGGTTTAGATAATCAGATTGTTAATTGTTTGAATTGAAAAATGTTTAAGTTGATTATATGTAATTCATTTATAAAATACTAGAAGGGTACTCGCGTAATGCATCGAGATACACCTTGATTTCAGTGTTTCATTTTTTTATGTCGATATAATACGATTTTATGTGGTTTTGAAAAAGCAATAATGTTTTTTTTAAATAAAATATAAATTTGAAAATATCATAAAATTTTGAAAAGAAATATCAATGTCAGTATCAAATTAACATATTTAAAAGTTATCGTTTTTGGTGCAATTTTCTTAATTTAATTTTTTATAATTTAGTATTTAATTATGTTTATTTGCAGTTAGTTACACGAATTCAAACATGGAGCTTAATAAGTTGTACTTACGTACAATTTATTTGTAAACTTGAATTTTAAATAATATGCATCAATAAGCAATACTTCATGTACAAAAAATGGTTTTTAAGAATTTTTGTCAAATGTTTTATAATATAGTATAACTATGTTTATATTTTATTATGTTAATTTTGAAGTCCTAAAAAATAAGAAGTTAATTAAAAATAAAAATAAATTAAAACTAAATCTTTTTGAGTCCTAAATAATTATAATAAAAATATACATCGATGAATTGTTTTATTTCTCTAATTTTCAAGTCTGGTAAAACTTAAGAAAAAATAAATAAAATGGGTTAATGATCATTCGACACTCGAGCAAGAGTTGGATTTTATTCTGTGACATAACTTTCATCAGCGACCGCTAGCTAGAAATACTGAATCTCAAGTGGTAAAAAATATAAATCCGATGAACTTGAATTGTCAAAAAGGCAACTTAATTTAGCACTTGGGAAGATCAGCCGGTGGGGGTAAGAGCTTCTGGTTCGGAAGTTTTCCATCCAAGACTAGCCAGGCCATCTTCAAACCCCAACTTGTATGAACTTCCAAATGGCAATGCATGAACCATACTCCTGCTCCATAAGTCAAAAGTTAAAMTCATATCAWWTAAGAAACCCAACTAAGTTTATGMTAAAAACAGACCTGGGTTATCTGCAAGAAATCGTATAGCAACCCACCCACCAGAGGGCACACCAATCGTGTTYCTTTCAACAGGGTCCACAAGATTGAACTTCTTTGGATCCTTGTTAGGATTGTAGTTTCCAAACCCTTGACCTACAACAAAGAAATTGAAGCCATGGAGATGGAGTGGGTGGCTTTCAGCACCAAGAATGCTGGTATCTTGCATCACTAACTCCACACTCGTATTAAACGGAAGAACCATGAGTTTTGTACCSTTGCTCACAAAGGTATTATTAGGAGGAGTCCCCGTATAGTTRAACCAATGYAACGGGTTGATCGGAAAATAAGGACTATAAACACCCTTTGATTGATCAAAAAAGTGGGACTGGAGAAGGGCAACACTTGGCTGTATAAAGGACACATTGTTAATTGAAGCTGCAAACCTAGTTCCRTTTGGTCCTTGGCAAGTTTTATTMTTTTCACAAGGATTCGTCCCAAGCCCTATGGTGAAAAATAARTGTTTGTCAATCTTCTGTGGGACATTAGCTGGAAATTTAACACTTGCCAAGCTTCGAAGTCTATTTGARAAKTTTGAMACGAATAAGGTRTCGTTTARAGATGGTAATYGTGGTTTAAAGAGTGGAAGATTTTTCATGGGAATGGAAGACTCRTATTCAAGAATGCCAGCAACAGTGGAATTGTCAAAGGTTCCTTGGCCCGTTACGTATGGTCTAGCAGACATGAGAAAGTTGGCACGAGGAAATTCCGAAATGGTCTTAAGGAGTACGTTGGTGGTCTGACCAGGAGCTAACACGAGTGTTTCTGTGCTGAAAGGTTTTACATAAATGGCATCGGCTTCAACAACAGTGAGGCTGTGATTTGCTATACTAAAAAAGAGTTCATCATTGAGTGCTGCATTGATCAATCGAAGGAGGTATGTCTTGCCGGGCTTAACCTTCAGCTTGAACGTATCTGCCAATTCCAAGAACGACAATTCAGCATTCATAATTCTGGAATGAACATAACCAATTTGCATTCTTTTGGAAATACCTTTAGCAGAACAGTTATACAAAGGCCCAGGAAGCCCATTGAAGGTATAGGCATCAGAGACATTTGGACCGCCACCGGTTTGTGYTGCCTGGGCAATTATGGCTTCTGTATCTGTATTAAACCACTCACCTGCACAAATACAACATTGTTTTTGACTTCATGCTATACTAAATTAATTACGAAATGACGAACAAGTATCATAAATTGTTTACCAAAGATGACGGGAACTTCTTTGTATGGCTTGGTAAAAGGGTAGGGGACATTAAGCTTCGGAAGAATGATGAGAGGGCCGTAAAGACTTGCTCGTAACCATGATATATGTGCATGCCAAAACAATGTTCCTCTTTGCCCAACGATAGTGTAATTGTACACGTAACTTTGGCCCATTTGTATAGGGCATTGTGTTATATAAGCTGGCCCATCCGCCCATCCACTCCGAAGCTGTCGGATGCCATGCCTGTGTATCAAAAAATAAAATATTATGATTACAAAGGAGTTAAGGGTTTTGCTGCGTGAAGCGATTCTCTAATATTGTGTTAAAACCTACATCGGAGATATATCGTACCAATGGATTGTAATGTTATTGGGGACATGGTTTGTAACTTTTATAAGCAAGCGGTCACCCTCCCGAGCAACAATACGAGGACCTGGAAATTTCCCGTTCACCGTAACCATGCTCTTCGTATGGCACAGTCGTGTCACATTTTGTAGCTGGATCTGCATGTTCAAATGTAGTTTTGGATCAAGATGTTAAAGTACAACAAATATTAACATGATGGGATCATATCGAATGTGACCTACGTTAAATTCATAGCTCCTGGTAGTGCCGCCAACACAATAAACTGAAAGCAGTAAAGTTAGTGCTGCAAACGAAAAGAGAATTCCACTCATCTCCTCCTATTTGTTGCGTTGAAGAGGTTGTGCTTTTTTTACTTCATGAAGGAAGCTATGGAGGTGGAATATATAGGCTTATGCCTTAAGATGGTTTCGCAGATTCAAGAAAGAATTGTTAAAGTGCAACTTTAGAGTGCTACCAAAGAGAAATTTGTATCTGTTTTCTTAAAGCCTTTCCTTGGTCGTAAGGACTTGGTCCCACTGTGGGTATTATACTACATAACTTAAAAACGTAAATGTAAAAGCTACGTATAAAATATAAACAGGTTGTAATGCATATTTAACAATATATATATATATATATATATATATATAATGGGGCAATAAACCCTGAAACTTTGTGTTGGTGGAAGAAAATCGGTGATGTGTTATAATGGTCGTTGGTGATCTTGGTCGCTGAAAGACCCGACCCTATCTAGTAGTGATCATGTGCGTCTCTTTCTTAGCTCCCGTCCTTGTATGGAACATTGTTTTGAACAACAAGATTGCAGAACAACTTCTTTCTTTTTAGCAAAAACTCTAATATGCTACCAAATGTCATTTACTCTTTCCTCTATAATGGTATATGCATCACACTGGTCTTCAACTCATGAGCACCAGGAAAAAAAAAAACTACACTTTTTGTTAAGCATTGTAATCGTGGCTCACTTATCTCACATTAATAATGTATTTGAATACGTTAAATGTTGTCATCTTTTATCTCCCCCTCTTACTTAAACTAGAATCTAGGCCCCGCCACGTTCATTAGTATTGTTCTTATTCTCTTTTGGGCATCCTACAATATCATAACATGCCTTTTTCGACAATGTGAATTTATTTTCCGTAATGTGAACACCACGGTTCTCATGTTGGGTACTCTTTCATTCTCCTTCTCTGTTTTGGTAGTGTGTGGCGTGCACTTGGAAGGAATTGTTCCTTCAATTTTTGTCCTGCCATAGTTTATAATCTCTTTTTGCTTCTCAACCTCCAATACCAGGTAGTAGTTTGTTGCCGAGGTGACCATTGTCATTGTACTTAATATTTAGGTTTTAACAGTCCAAATTTTTTCATCCATGCCTATATATATATATGGAACTCGTATAGGCGATCCTTTTCCCTCATTGTCACCAATTGTTTAAATATGCCACAACTACATCAACAACATTTTCAGTTTGAGAGTTATCTCACATATTAGTTCCTACGCAATAGGGCACTCTCAACGGACCCACAAGCATATTGATTCATCCTATAATGGGATAGATAATGTGCGAGTTATATGACATTCCACTGTGCGTAATCGGTCTACTAACAAAGAATATTTCTTTGAACCTCAAGTTGAATAAGCTTTCAACATAAGAACTTGTTCTGGTAAGCTCACAAAATGGGTTTTCAAAGTATTTCAACTTCCAGCTTGAATAACCGGAGCAAACACCTTTTGACAATGAAATTTGGAGAGATACAACATTAAATAAATAGCTTCTTGATTAGCAGTTGTCAACAAAGTAAAAACGGTCTATTTTCTTCTTACTTCCAAAAAATTGAATAATTAAAACACAAATCCAAAATTCTCAATCAGACGAATGATTATCGGCACTCAAAACTCTAAGTCATAACCATAACTTAATCACTCAAACCTATAATTGATCAAGTTAGATCAATGATTGAGAACACTCAAAGGTCTAGTATCTCGAGAAAACTCTAGAACACTGATTGCAAGCTCTCAAAATTCTGATTGATCAGGTCAAAATGATGATTGAAATCACTCAACGGTCTGGCCTCTTGCGAAAAAACTTCAGAGTAATGATTGCAGAAATTCAAACTGCTAACTAATCCAATTAAATACTGAATCCAATCACCCTATTCTCAAAAAATTTCAAATCAGGATTTTCAATATATAAACTTGATGATTTTGACCAAGAAAGTCAAACTTTGACTTCTCAACTCTTGAACAAAAGCTGATGATGCTTGATTTATGCACAAATATCACAGGGCAAAGAGATAAAGAACACCAGAGTTTATTGCATATATCGGCCATGAACAGCAACAACTCGTATAGGTAAAGCAGTATACTAATGATGAGAATGATATTGCTCACGCTTTATGAGATATCCTTGATTATTGAAGGGAAAACAACCGATGGTTGAAGATGTTCCTGCTCTGCCACCACCGCCTGCCCCTAAACCTCCAAGGGAGTTGGACCTATCGATGGATGATCTAAATTCAATGGTTTATGCTAAACTACTTTCTAATCAATCTACAGAATCGGCGGATGTAGATTTGGTCGGTTTATGAAGACATTCAATCAAAGAAACCCATACAGTTAAAGCCACAGAGTTTGATTCTTTCCAACGCATTGTAGTTTCTTGTTTTTCAAAACTCGATTCTACAATTGTTTCCAATACCCAAGCCCTAACCCAAATGCAAAACTCCATTGATATCCTATCTGAAATGGTATCAGCTTTGGAAAATACATGTAGAGCTTAAGCCACCTCTCTTAAAAGAAGACATGATGATCAGGATGATCTTGAACACCATGAGGGGGAGATCAAGAGACAGAGGTTGGCTGAGACATCAAGGGGTGGTGAAGGTGTTTCTAAAGATGATGACTCGGAGGAGCATACAAAACAAAGTCCAGTTCAAGTTGCAATGAGTGAATGAATTACTGGCCTAGAAGAGAATGTAGCTACAGGTGCATCAATTGAGCCAATGGTTGAAAAGCCGGCAGTCTCTACAGTAGAAACAAGGTTGCTGCTAGATCTGTCATCAAACGTTGGGTTTAATGAAGTTTTTTCAAGAGAATTGGGTGGTGTATAGGATTATGGAGCTGATATATATACAATTGATGATTCAGATGATATGACTTTGAAGCTGACATGGATGAAGATGATCTAATATTTCCAATTCAATCTGAATATCAACAAATTCCTGAGCTTACTCCTACTGATTCTCAAAGCATTCCCGATACAACTTATGTGGTACACGATGCGTCAGAGATATTTACAAAGAATTATGTACCTTTTGCAATTCGTGCAAATATTCCAGGCTTTGATAGAGAGAGAATCAGAGAGCCTTATCTTTTAAAATTCAAAATGGATTAAAATTCAACATTTGTTTTAAGAACAATTAATCAACATCAAAACCTTGATCCTAAGCGACAATTACCCAATAAAACGATTATTAAATCAACACCAATAAACAAGTTATTTTATTTGGACTCCAACAAAATTGAAGATAAAGTAAATTTAAACTACCAAGATAACTACATTAGGTGCAAACTACTAACAAATTAACATCAATAAAAATGAAAGATGAACAATGAAGGTCTAAATAAACATATGTAGAAAATTAAACTAAGTGCAGAACATCAAACATATATAGAAAATTGAATAACCTAATCTAATGTGCATAAATTAAACAAGTGCAGTAAAGTAAGGTAGAGTAGAGAATAGAGACGCAAACATAAAGAGACATGTAGAAAAATTAATGCTTTAGTGCAACCAATCAAGAATAATAAAGGGTTGAAAAAGAAAACTCAAGAACAATTCAATTGATGATAAGATTCAAACAAAACACAAGTTAATCAAATATAAACTAAAGGGATAGGGAAGAAGATACTCAATAACTTATGCAAAAATAGATGCCAATCGGTATCCAATTACATAAGCTTTAAACCAAATCTTCTTCCACAAGATTGAAGGAGATCGGCTAAGAAAAGCTTCAAGTCGTGCGTATCGTATGCTAAGGGAATGATACGACTTGGAGAAAAAACAAAATCTAAAGGATTTTAAATAGCCAGGCCAAAAAGCCCAAGGAAAAAACTCAAAATAAAATAGGTCCAAACGACTTTCATGCCCGTGAAGAAATCACGACCGTAAAGAATCTTTCACGCCCGTGAAAGTGCACCAAAAAATAAAGTTCGTTTCAGGAGCAGTATTTCACGACCATGAAGAAATCTTCACGCCCTGTGAAACCGTGGTAGAAACTTCCATCAAGAATTAAGGTGGTTTTTTTCACGTCCGCCAAGCAGACTTTCATGCCCATGAAGCATGGACAACAAATACATCCTTCTGAATTCTCTTCGAATGGCTTCGCCTCCTCATTTACTTGAYGTTTCTCTTCTTTTYTAACCYTGAGCATACCTTCACTTTTCTCATCTTCAAAACTATGCATAATATGCACAAAATACATAACAAARGCATAAAAASCATCCTCGAAAAACTTCCAACCGTGATTAGAGAAAGAAWTGGAAATGAACAATAAAAAGGTATGCAAGTAGTAMACTAAGGACTAAAATGCATAAAATACACAACTAAAATATACAAAGTTAGGTGCATAAAATRCACTTAACARACCACCCACAAGCTAAACTTTGTGGTCCCCAACAAAGAAGTAGAACTTGTTTGTGCAAAAAAGAAATAGAGAAAATAAACGAAAACCTYCGGAGATGTCAAAAYGAGTGATCCCACAATCTCACARAGCATAATCAAGCATTAAGACTACATACACAACTAAATGCCCATGAGTTGGATTAAATGCCCACGAGAAATGAGAATTTGGATTGATTACATATGTCTCAATCCATGAGACCCAAGACCTCCACTAGGTAAATCCATCCATCATAGTCACGTTTGTAATGTAGGGGGGCTACGGTGTGCAAACTAGTCCTAAAAGGCTACGTGGAACAACATGCTTTATGGGGTGTGTAAGTAACAGCTAAGGTACCATTTTTTCTAAAAAAATCATTTAATAACATGGAAAAAAGTTTATGTGCAATTAGTGAATCAAGCAACTCCAAAATGCAAAGTGAGATACGGTGTACTACGAGTCTTAAGATGCAAAATAAAACAAGATTATATTAACGTAAGTTAACATRAAATATTCAACCTTAATATGTATTAACACACCAAARCCACTTTGATACTTCATAAACATTGGTTAGGATATCCCACAATCTTTCTTAACCCGCAACCTCGAAGTGTAGTTCATTTTGATTATCCGACATCAAATCTTGAAATGCG